AATCGATAGGAAATAGTTCTTTAAATTCAAACACTACAGGAATAGAGTCGATAGACGGAGACTCAACCTCAACATCCCAAATATGAGCCAAATACACCAAACATCTTTGCCCCACCAGTTTCCTAGCCCGAATGAAGGATATGATCTTAACTGGCTTAGGCTTGTACACCCATTCCCACTCTAACTTTTCCCTACCGGGGATCTCTAGAGTCACAGGCTTAGCATTATAATTAATCGAAACAAAATAGGGGGACAACCAAGTCATGCCTAAGATTATATCAAAGTCAGTCATATCCAAAATACCCAAGTCAGCCCAAGTCTGAAAACCCATAAACAAAACAGGACAATCACGATACATATGGATGACTATGACAGACTCTTCAACTGGGGTAGAAACATGGATGGGGCATTAGGCACATAAAAAACCGCCTCAAATCCCAAGGCAAACTGAACTGACACATATGAATAAGTAGAAATCGGATCAAACAAGGCAATAGCCATCTTGTCACAGACAAGAATAACACATGTGATCACTGCAATCAGACATCTCAACCTCGGTTTTGCCTGGAAAGGCATAAAATTAAGCCATGTCATCTTGACGGGCAACTTCATTGCCTGGCAACACTGCTCCCCCACTTGCATTACCATTTCCCCGGCCTTCACGGCCTTGCTGATTTCCTCCTTATATGCCCAAGTTCTCCACAATTTTAACACACTTAATAACATCATCAAGCAAGCATCGCTGCTATTGTAGTTGTCGTATCATGACCCTCTTTTATATACACTCAATCTAGGAAATCGCAGTAGATATTCTAACTTCAATTTTCACAACATGATTCATCATTTACTAAGCAACCCATACATGATATGACAACAATACTAAATGCATTTTCCAAGTAATGGTGTTCATTATCCAGCCGTCCCTTACAAAACTTCTTAAATGTTGTCACCTATAACCTTGAATCTATAAATTTGACCTTAATCACTTCACAGAGTAATGAATTTGCTCTATATTCGGGAACTCATCTCTCCTCCTATCCTTCAAAGTTCAGGGTATATACTTCTCCATACAGAGGGCTATAAAATGTTTCCCAAGTCATGAGTAGTGCATTTACTAGTCAGCACTCAACATGAGACCACCACCGCATTTTGGTCTCTCTGGGATTGATATGTCACAAACTCAACCCCAAACCTCTCCACTATATTCATCTTAAGAAGCAACTCATGATAGTCAATAGGGAAGTCCTAAACATCTTCATATTCCATACCCATGAAGAATGAGACTTTCAACTTTAAGAACATAACAAAACCTCATGTTTATCTTTAGTCATTAGATACCCACAACGAGTCAGGGAAACATACGTATTTCCAAGGACACATTTTCTATTGCTCGTTTTGTTGTTTTCACCTTTACAACTCAATTACTAATCAGATGCGACATAGAGTGAAGGAATTCAGATACCAATTTGTATCACCTAGATACCAATTGGATTCAAGTCATAGCACGAAAGGAGTAGAAAAAAATGAGTTTTTCCTAAAGTCCTATAGCCTTTCGAAGAAACGTACAGACGTCTCTGTACCATTCCGCAAGACTCTACTAGACTTCTTTTGGTACAATGAGATCAACGAACCTAGGGCTATTATACCAACCGTGTCACGACCCAGACCATCGTGATTGGCACCCATACTAACCCTCTAGTGGGAGAACCATTACTACAACCCAGACTAAACAACTAAACCAAAAACTATGCATTTAAAGATACGAAAGTAGGTTTAAATGACCAAAAACAATACAGAGTTCCCATAAACTCCTAAGGTTTAAATAAAACTAACTAAACTAATGTGGAAGAACAACCCCTAGAACCTGAAAGTCATTGTACCAAAACATCTAAAGTGCAACAAGTCGAAGAAAAAAGGGTACAAACCCCGAACCCTTGAATTCGATCTCAATCACTGATCTCCTAGCTGAGTAGCCGCCTGAAGATGCCTTGTACTTAACAAAGAACGAGAAAGTGCAGTATCAGTACACAACCACAGTGTACTGGTAGGATCATGCAGCTATCCCATTAAGTGAAACATATATAAGCAGTCACAACATAGTAAACATGACCTGTACAAAATATAAATACACATATTTTATCATTTTAAAGCAACAAACAGTCATTTAATATCAATCACTATTAGATACGAAGGTAATCATCACAAGTAGATACAAAGCATGATTCAATGGTCCTCTTACGGAACTCAATTCAATGGTCCTCACATGGAACCCATACCAAAACTGTTAGTGTATCGGAACGTGGTACCCAATCCCAATTAGTGTGCCGAACGTGACACCCATCAAATTATATGCGCCAGAACATAGCACCCGATCCATGTTAGTGTATCGGAACGTGACACCCGATCTAATATATGCGCTAGAACGTGGCACCTGATCCCAGTTAGTATGTCGAAACGTGACACTCGATCCAATCATCATACCACAATCACAAACACAATGTACATTCTCATAATCATACAATCAAGTGTTGATTCATGGCATACAATCATTCATTCTTACTCATTTACATTAGGTTTGATCAATAGTTCTACATTCACATACATACATGTATTACAATGAAGCAATTACTCACATACATTACATAATCATGAAATCAAACCATCACCTACCTCGAAACCAAGCTTGAATCCCTCTAAGGCACTTGATTCTTCCCTTTTCGGATTTTTTCTGCTTGTTTTAGGTCTACAAACAATCAATTCAATACGAGGATCAATAATTAAGGTTTAAATTACCCGGATTATGACAAACCCAACACCCAACTCATGATCCTAAGGTGCAGCTAGGACTTTTTCCCATCATCCAATTCAGTTCGAAAGCCTCCCCCAACAATATATAATTAAGATTTTATGTTCTACGGATCGAAAAATGGATTTGGGGAGTAAAAACCTTACCTTTAGCACCAAAAGTCATGGGAAACTGTCAAGAAATAACATGGGGTAGTCTCCTAGCTCTCAAGAATGAAACTTGCATAAAATAACATTTTTTGGGTTTATTTCTGACTTAAGTCGCGACTATCCCTCCACGGCGGGGGCCCCTGGCGGGCTTTTCTCCCGCTTTAGCGGCTTTTACAAAAATAGAGAGTTGAATTAAGAGTTTCAAACCCCCATTTCACAATACACCTTCAACCCATGACGTTCAAAAGTTACCCGTTCTTGCGAAGACCAGTTTTGAGAGTTCTACTCGCCCGAATTCGATTCCCTAAAGTCGTACAGGTTCCTTAATGTCTTAGATATATACTCATGCAATTAATTTCATTATAACACTTCTCATTCATTACCAGATTTCCCTAGACTTTCCTGACTCTGATTTCGTCCAAATCTGGACTAGGCTAGGAAATTTCAAGTTACTACCAAAAAAAATTCCCCGATGGCTTTTCTATAACGACGGAAACATGTCGTTACAATTGTAAAAACAAAATGGATTCAGCATTAGTAAACTCAAGACCATTGTCCGACCTTATCATTTTTATGGTAGTTTTGAACTGATTTTCAACCATATTGGTAAAAGCTGTGATAATAGGTAAGGCATTGCTTTTATGGCTAAGGAGGTATGTAAAGATAGACCAACTGAAATCATCTACCAAGGAAATAAAAAAATTGAATTGGTCATGTGTTGGTACTTGATATGGCCTCCATATATCAACATCTACTATATCAAATATGGTAGTAATATTGTTAGTCTTTGGTTGGAAAGGTAATCCTGTTTGTCTTGCCATAGGGAAAATGGGGTAGATAATAACCGATGGATTTACACTTATATGAGGTCTTTTAGTTCAACAATTAGTGTCCTAAAAACCTAATTATGTCCTATTTTGATGATATTTTGATGATTTGCATCTATGTAGGCTAAAGGATGATGCTAGGATGAATACTTGAAAGAAAGGACAAAAACATTGAAAGAAGTACAAACTCCACACTAGCAGTCGCCAAACGAAAAATAGTGGATCACCCAAATGGCCTAACCTCACCCAAAGTGACAGTGTGCACAATTGTAGATATTCGAGGCAGGTCAGCGATCTAAACGTGAAATGGTTACTCGCTGAAAAGGAAGGGCAAATAAGATGACCATCACCAAAGGTGAAAGGACTTGGTTGAAAATAAAGGCTTAAAAAGGGAGAAAATATGGTAATCAGTGATCCACTGAATGTGAAAGAAAGACTTGAACGAGTTTGCCAACTAAGGTTCAAAGACCTGAAGCCTGAAGCAAATGAAAGGTGAGATGAGGAATAGATGGTGATCCGCCGATCGTGTTTGGCGTGCCCGACATATTGCACGGAGTTGGTCACACAGTGAATTTTTGGCCGAAATTTGGGAAACTATAAAATATCCCAATGGAGAGAGAAAATAGAGGGCTTTTGGGAAAGAGTTTTCAAAGCTTTTGTTTTTGGAGAGTTTTTGCATGAGACATCTCACCTTTTGAAAAACATCTTTACTTTTGGGGTTTCAATTTTTCTCTTGTACTTGAAAATTGGAAGTTGAAATCAAAGTCGGTGTTGATTATAATTGCATGATTTTATCACATCCATGGTTGTTATCTTGATAGGTATAATTTCTTTACTTTTTTGTGATTTGTAGCTAATACCCCAAGTATAGGGTGCAATTATGGGGAAGGATAATGATTTAATGTAGTGATAAAGAAGACTCCTAATTATACTATTGACTGCTCGTAGAGATGAGTGACCTAAACGACTAAGTCATAGATCAAAAGATGACTTGGACATATGGAAAGCTTGTGATTGATTAGCGGGAGTGGGTTGGCTGATTAACTGGGCAGCAAGGAGGCGATAAAGGCCATGCTCAAGAGTCTTTCACAACACGATCCTTCACAAGACAAAAACAAGGGTGAAACTCAAATATAACATCATATCAATAAATTTTTCCACGCTAAGTAATTTTTTGATAATTCCAGGCATCAATAATACATTAGATAGATGTAAAGGTCAACTAACTAAAGGTAAGATGGAATGATCAAAATGAGATATTGTCAAACATGAGCCATTACCAACATGAATTTGATCGCTTCCTAGATACTTTTCTTTTACCGCTATATTCGGCAAATCATTAGTTAAATGATGAGTAGCTCCAGAATTCGGGTAACAATTCGAGTCTCCAACCATGAAAGGCTGTGCAATAAGAACATTCATGTGCGACTTGGATGTAACTTGATAGGCATGGTCGAAATGGTGGTAGCAATTTAGAGCCAAGTGTCCAAACTTGTTGCAAACTTGACCCTGATTTTGGTTGGATGAGTCAGTGTTGCGACCCCGACCTCGTCCTCGTCTAGACCTGCCACCATAAGCCTGATTGCTATTGAAATTAATAGGCTTCTTAAATGAATTTTCATAGTTAGGATTATTGGATTGTCTAGCAGACAAGTTGGCTTGGCCTAATCCTTGTTCCAAATGATACTCATGACTTAAAATCAAGCCATAAAGATCGAACGAGGAAATTAATTCCGCTCTATAAGTGACGAAGAAAACCACAACATCATATTCTTCTCCAAGTCCTCCAAGAATATATAATATAAGATCATCATCAATGACAGGGTGTGCCGCAACTGGGAGATTATCATCACAAGTCTTCATCTTTTGAAGGTATTCTACCATTGGTGAGATGCCTTTATTTGTGGTTTGTAATTGTAGTCTTAGTTGCATTATCCTAGCCTTGGATTTCGATGCAAAACATTATCTCAAGAGGCTGCCAACTGTCTGAGATGTCGTACTGTTGGGAATAAATTAAATCTGCAACATAAATAATATTTGCGGTAATAAAAGCAATAAAAGTGGAACACAACAATATGGTTAATCAACAAGAATAAAAAGAGCAATAATGACACTAAGATTTTATGTGGAAACCCTCCTGAATAAGGGAAAAACCACGGCCAAGAGGAGCAACTGATATCACTATAGTAAGGATTTTTACACTTGTAGATCTGAGTAAAAACTCCAAAGACCACTGCACACTCAAAACAAATAACCCTTTTTTTATTTTCCCACCTCACTATAATATCGCTCACACTCTCTATTTTTCCTCACAGACTATTTTCCTGTGTGATGCCTCACTCTTCTTTTCTCTTATTTGTTTTTGGTGCATTTGAGAATGAAGAATGACCCTCCCTTTTATAGAGAACAAATGCAGTAGCCTCCAAATATGCTACAGAAGAACAACAATTTTTTCTTCTTCATAGCTTACCAATATTTGACTTTTGAGAATATCAGGAAAAACAAATCAGCACATGTATATCCAATATCTTCCAAATCTGCCAACGCTTTAACATTGTGAGATTTATCAAAGTTTGGGACATGAGGATGGACCCCACAATCTCCCCCTCCAGACCCATTCACCGAAAGGAGGTAGCTCTAAGTTTCTATCTTGAGTGCATGCCGATAAGTTCTTTGCATAGCTCGAACTTGTCTTTTGATACCACCTTGGTCAGCATATCCGAAGAGTTTTCACTAGTAGGGATCTTCATGACCTACATAGATTCGTCCTCTATCTTTTCCTGAATCCAGCATCCTTGCATGATACATGGTGTTCTTGCTCAAGTCTATTGCACTTTGACTGTCACAATAGACGACATACTCCTTCTGATACAATCCAAGTTCTTGAAGAAATCGTTTCAGCCATACCATCTATTTGCCAGCTTCAGTAGCTGCGATATACTCTGCCTCAGTTGTAGAGAGTGCGACACACTTCTACAACTTTGACTACCATGATATAGCTCCCCCTGAAAATGTAAACAAATATCCAGTAGTGAATTTTCTGTTATCGAGGTCACCTGCCATATCAGCATCTGTATAGCCCTTCAAGATTGGATCAGATCCTTCAAAACACAAGCAGTCTCTTGTGGTACCTCTTAGGTACCCGAGTATCCACTTAACTTCCTCTTAGTGTTCTTTTTCAGGATTTTCAAGGAATCTTATAACAACACCAACTGCATAAGCAATATCAAGTCTTGTAAATACCATTGCATACATCAAACTCCCCTTTACTGAAGAATAAGGAACTTTGGTCATTCCCTTTTTCCCCTCGTTTGTTGTAGGACACATCTGTTTGCTGAACTTCAGATGACTCGCAAGAGGCGTGCTAACAGGTTTAGAACTCTTCATGTTGAATCGTTCTAGTACACGTTCAATGTACTTCTCTTGAGATAGCCACAACTTTCTTTTTGTTCGTTCTCGAACAATTTTCATCCCTAGAGTTTGTTATGCTGGGCCCAAGTCTTTCATGTCAAATGACTTGGACTAATCTCTCTTCAACCTTGCAGTCAACTCTTTGTCTTGTCCTATAATTAACATGTCATCCACATACAACAACAAAATAATAAAATTGTTTTTGGAAAATCTTTTGAAGTATACACATGGATCAGAATAGGTTTTGTGTACGTTTGACTTTTCATGAAAGAGTCAAACTTTTTGTACCATTGCCTTGGTGCCTGTTTCAACCCATAAAGACTCTTGTTCAATTTTCACACCATGTGTTTATTTCCAGATACTTCAAATCCCTCTGGTTGCTCCATATAAATCTCCTCTTCCAAATCTCCGTGAAGAAATGCAGTTTTCACGTCCAATTGCTCAAAATAGTTCGAATAGAAGTCATTTTGACAACAAGCAAAAATATTTCAGCAAAATCAATACCTTTATTTTGGTCAAAGCCTTTTATAACCTTTTATTTTGTTCGAAGCCTTTTACAACCTTTTGTTTGAAGCCTTTTACAACCTTTTATTTTGTTCGAAGCCTTTTACAACCAATCGAGCTTTGTATCTGACAAACTTGCCATTTCCATCTTTCTTGAGTTTAAAGACCCATTTGCACTTAAGCGGTCTTTTGCCTTTTGGAAGTTCAACTAGCTTGTATGTTCCATTTTTCTGTAGAGATTCCATCTCTTCTTGCATGGCTTTCATCCATTGGCTATTTTCTGGATGAGTCAACATCTCTTTAAGACTTTCTGGCTCCCCTTCATAATTAATGAGGACATATTCTGAGAAAGAGTACTTGGATGACTCTACCCTTTGTCTTTCTGATCTCCTCAGAGGTTGAGATAGTTCTTCTTTGTCCGGGTACTCCACTTGCTCGGTATTATCACCAAGTTGCTCCCCCTGCTCAACAATCTCATTTGGTTCCTCTTCCTATTCAGCAACTTCATCGATCGTACTTTCTGCACTTATGGGATGGTTAGAAGTAAAAGGAATTGTAACAAGATTAGGGACAGTACCATTCTTTTTCTTGGCCTTCTCGGATAGATCATCAACAGTTCCAACTGCACTTTCTCGGAAAATTACATCTCTATTTCTGATGACCTTCTTCTTTACAGGATCCCACAGTATGTACCCAAACTCTTCATCTCCATATCCGATGAATATGCAGGGAACTGATTTATAATCTAGCTTGGTTCTCTACTCCTTCGGTACATGTGCAAAATCTTTGCAACTAAACACTTTTAAATGCAAGTAGGACACCTCCTTGTTGGCCCAAACTCTTTCCGGAATGTCAAACTCCAATGGAACGGATGGACTATGATTGATAAGATAACATGTTGTCCGAACTGCTTCACCCAGAATGACTTAGGTAATTTAGCCATTCTGAGCATGCTTCTCACCTTCTCAACAATGGTGTGATTCATTCTCTCAGGTACACCATTGTGTTGTGGGGTTCCAGGAACTGTCTTTCATGTCTGATTCCATGGTTTGAACAGTACTCTTCAAATTCTCTTGATGTGTACTCACCTTCATTGTCAGTTCGGAGACGTTTTAGCTTCTGACCCGTCTCTATTTCTACCAAAGCATGAAACTTTTGAAATACTTGAAACACCTGATATTTGGCTTTCAAGATATAAACCCACAATTTTCGTGAAGCATCATCAATAAAAGTAACAAAGTATTTATTGCCTCCCATTGATTCTATCTCCATTGGACCACAAACATCAAAATATACCAAATCAAGTATATTCAACTTTCTTTCAGATGATGTCTGAAATGAGACTTTATGTTGCTTACCAAATAAACAGTAGTTACATGAGAAACACCTGATCTTTGGTTTTCAAGATATAAACCCACAATTTTCGTGAAGCATCATCAATAAAAGTAACAAAGTATTTATTGCCTCCCATTGATTCTATCTCCATTGGACCACAAACATCAAAATATACCAAATCAAGTATATTCAACTTTCTTTCAGATGATGTCTGAAATGAGACTTTATGTTGCTTACCAAATAAACAGTAGTTACATGATTTTATCGTTGTACCTTTGGCAAAAGAGATGAGTGATTTTTTGGAAACAATTCGCAATCCTTTCTCGCTCATATGACCCATTCTTCTATGCCACAAATCTGCAGAAATCTCTTCGTGAGCCGCATTCAATTCACCTTGGCATATTTCTGCATTTGTCCTGTACAACGTGCCACGAGCAACTCCTTTTGCAATCACCAATGCCCCTTTGGTGAGTCTCTATTTTTTATTTGCAAAGTAGTTCTCATATCCGTCTCGATCCAAAGCAACTCCCGAGATCAAGTTCATCCGCAAATCAGGTACGTGGCGCACATCTTTCAAAGCTAATGTGCATTCGACATTTGTCTTTATGCAAACGTCTCTAATTTCCTCAATTTTTGAGTAACTTGTGTTACCCATTTTCATATTGCCAAAATCACCAGCTACATATTTGGGAAAAAAGATCTCTTACCGGTGTGGCATGGTAAGATGTTGTTGTGTCGACCACCCATGGTAAGATGGTAAGATGGTAAGATCTCCTCGTTTATGAGGAGAACAACATTGTCATTATTTTGCACCATGGAAGTTGTGTTGTCATCATTAGTCTGGCCGTTGCTTTCTCCTTTGCTCCTTTTTAGATTCAGACAATCTATTTTGAAGTAACCTGGTTGATCGCAATTGTAGCAATTACTGGCCTTTGATTTTGATCGGACCTTGGACTTTCCATGAGCTCCAGATCTACCATGGTTGCTTGAACTCATTTGGTAACTTCTGCCTCTACTTTATGTGATGAGAGCCTGTCCGTAATTTTCAGGATTTTTTCTCATCTTCTCATTAATCAGAAAGGTTGATGTGACATCCTTCAACTCAATAGAGTCCTTACCATGTAAGATAGTTGTTGCCAAATTATCGTAGGAAGATGGCAACGAGTTTAGGAGTACTGTGGCTTTATCTTCCTCCTCGATCTTTACTCTGAGGTTTGCTAGCTGTGTGATTAGTCCATTAAGCACATTTAAATGGGACAAAAAAATTGTACCTTCACCCATATGTAGGGCATATAACTGATTCTTTAGGTACAATTTATTTGTCAGCGTTTTGGACATGTATAGATTTTCTAACTTTGTCCAAATGCCACATCCACTCTCTTCATCGATGATATATTAACCACATCATCAGTTAAGGGCAACCTGATTGCACTAGCAGTCTTTTCATCCATTTCTTCCCAATCCTCATGTGTCATAGATTCAGGCTTTTTGGATTTGCCGCCTAGTGCCTTGTGCAAACCTTGTTGGATGAGTAAATCCCTCATAATTCTCTGCCACATTGAGAAACCGCTATCACCGTTGAATTTTGTTACCTCATACTTTACTCCAGACATTTTTTTGTCACTAAGTATAGAACGATAGACGGCAAAAATATTTCTATAAATGAGTAGAACATGTGTTCTGATACCAATTGTTGGAAATAAACCCGCAACATAAATAATATTTGCGGTAATAAAAGCAATAAAAGCGAAACACAACAATACGGTTAATCAACAAGAATAAAAAGAGAAATAATGACACCAAGATTTTACGTGGAAACCCTCCTGAATAAGGGAAAACCACGGCCCGAGAGGAGCAACTGATATCACTATAGTAAGGATTTTTACACTTGTAGGTCTGAGTAAAAACTCCAAAGACCACTACACTTTTGATTTTCCCACCTCACTACAATATCTCTCACACTCTCTATTTTTCCTCACAGACTATTTTCCTCTGTGATGCCTCACTCTTCTTTTCTCTCCTTTGTTTTTGATGCATTTGAGAATGAAAAATGACCCTACCTTTTATAGAGAACAAATGCAGTAGCCTCCAAATATGCTACAGAAGAAAAATAATTCTTTCTTCTTCATAGCTTACCAACATTTGACTTTTGAGGAAAGCTGGAAAAAAAATCAGCACATGTATATCCAATATCTTCCAAATCTGCCAACCCTTTGACATTGTGAATTTTATCACAGTTTGGCACATGGGGATGGACCCCACACGTACAACCGACTACTTGGGCTAAAATCCCTTCGTTGAGGGTTAAGAGAAGCCAACTCAATAAAAGTTGGTCTTGTTTGATCCATAAACTGTATTCGAGATTGATAACCGCGCCAACTAAGGCTGCTTTAGAAAGCTATTTGGAATTACCTTGGGAGGGCACTTGTGCGTACCATCCACATATCCCTCAAGTTCATGACCCTAATAAGAACCAGGAGAATTTGTGATGTCCACACAATATAATTATGATGATCCAATTTAAGAAGATGAGTCTAAATGATGTTGGTTGTGAATGAATTCTGCGAAGGGTTTTGCGAGGTGATAGTGGTAATTGAGGGATGTGTCATTGTGAGTCGTGAGTCGTGAGTCTTCGCATGGCTCCGATACCATGTAGATATTTTATGAATACAATAAATCTTAATTGTATTTTATGAAAGAGTTCATCATCAATATATACAGGTTGTTACACAAAGTGTAATTGAATAAAAACTCTCCAAACGATAAACTATAAACATGAATTCTAAATTAAATATAATTACTACATAAACGTGAGGATAACCTCACTGTTATGATATCCTAAGAATATGACAATATACATTTATCCTGATCTCGTGGTTTAAACTAGAAAATACAAAAAGATCAAAAGACATATTAGCTCTCCCTATTGTTGTTCATTTTCATATTTGGTCCATAAAAGCAAGAGAGGGACAAAATAAATCACAAGATATAGCTTTTTCTTTTGGATAAACCCTCCCTAATAAAAAAGCTCTAAAAAAGAAGTAAAGTAAAGCTACTTATCCACATGCACGTCCCCTTTATCTTCTTTTCTCTTTTTGCTTAATTATTCCCATTAACTCACCTTTTTCATTGTTTTCCTCCCTTAGTAACTTTTATTTCTGGGCCATCCTTGTCCTTTTTTGGCAGTATATTGAGGATATTCATCTACATGACACATGATTCATGATCTAGTCATTAAAGTAAAATGAAACACTTTACTTAATGCTAAATGGGGTCCTTATAGAGTACTACTATTGTGCTGGAAAGAAAAGTGGTGAAGAATCTCTTTGTAATTTGCCATCACTTATTTTTACCTTGCTCATCTTGTCTTCACACCAATGCAATTGTTCTTCATTTACTTGTCTCATTCTCAATACCCTTGACACTAATTTCAAGTCTACTAATGACATCAATATTTCCATCTCTTCTTCATCTTTTAACCTTCTTTTATTCCTCAAGCACTTTCCTGATCTTTGTAAATCTTTCACCTTTGATTTTTTCTGCACAAAATATTAAAGGTTTACGTTATGTGCATTGTCAATATAAATCGTTATTACTATGTTATAAGGTGTAATTCTTTACATTATTAGTGCCTATACATATACTTAAATGTTATAAACAATTAATACTATGGTTAAACTTCTATGTACAAGTAGTATTGCACATAAAACTCACCCTATTAAGTCATTTTAAACTCAATCATCAATTGTGTACCTATAAGTGAAATTCCACCAATGTAGTATGGGGAGGGTAGAATGTACACAGACCTTATCACTATCTCGTAAAGGTAGAAAGACTGTTTCTGAAAGACCATCAGCTCAGATGTAACAAATAATTATAATAATGACACATTTTATGATATTAAATCCCAATATTATAAAAAAAATAAAAATATAGAGTTGTGAATTTCAATACATAATTTTGTTAGTAAGAAGAAGAGATGTTAGATACTTGCCTTTTTGTTTTGTTTGTTTAGCAAGAAGGTGGTAGCATGAGGTGAACCTCTTCTTTTTCTCCTAAGGAAAGCTGCCATTAATATTTGGTAACGATTCTCCTTGTCTGCCTTTAGAAAATTCATAAAGGTTCTGATTGCTTCTTTCATTATTTCATGAAATGATTCTGAAGATATTCTTGAGCAATAATCTTCCTCCGCCCCTTTATCCTCCTCTGAATCTAATCAAAATAAGTGTACGGTGTATAATTATATAATATATCACGATTCTTGATAGCAAGAATATCGAAAATAAGCAATTGAATTATTATTTTCTTTAATATTCAACTTAATTTAGAAAGAAAATAATTATAGCACAATTAGTTCACATTATTAAATTCTAATTATTATTTTTAATAAAAAGCACAAGTCATCCATCTTGAATAAAAGGCAGATTTGGTCCACCCTAGTGTCACATTCATTCTTTTCCTAATTCTCTACTACAACACAGAAGACTACTGAAAAGTGAAAGTCTGAATTATTCAATAAAAAAAATATTTAACAATAAATGAGTTCAAATTCTATATACTAAAATAACAATACAAAAAGGTTTTTATACCACTAAGTCAATTAAATTACAGGCAACAGCCCATGTATGACATGAAAAATAAGTTACTCCTGCTATCTCAATTTATGTGACATGTTTCACATTCCGAGATTTAAATAAGTCTATTTTTTACTGTAAATTTTTTATATATCTTTTAAATATTTTGATATGTCAATTATTGTGATTTATAATACTTTTTACGTAGTTTACAAATATATAAATTTCATTTTAAAAGTTTTGAAGATTTCATTAGCAAATTTTATGTCAAACTTAAATTGTTTGACTTTTGAAAAACGAAATGTGTCACATAAATTGGGGGAGAGGGAATAATAATTTTCAATAGAAGGTTAAATAGCACTCACGACGAACACCAACAACAACAATATACTCAATACAATTCTTCTCAGTATGATTTGAGAAGATAAAGTGTATGCAGACCTTACCACTACATTATAGAGTAGAAAGATTTTTCCTAATTAAAGACCCTCAGCTCAATTTTACTAATGAAGAAAGCATAACAATTAATAAATAAAAGCAAGCACTATAGATGTTTAAAAAATTCATTAGACCAATAATATTGGGTACAAGTCAAAATGGAAATGTAATTTCATTGACCATAATATATTCAACATGGACTTTTTCATACGTATTAAAAGGTAGAGAAATTTAGTACCTCGATATTCTGGGACTTGAAGCAATTTTGGAGCTAAACTTCTCATTCTAGCATAAATTTCTGGTCTCCTTCCATTTTCATACGGCTCATTCTCAACGTATCTTTGTAAAAGAACTTGAAACTGCTGGAAATGTTGTGCTACATAAGCAGGACAACCTTGATCGTCCTTCGATTCCTTATTATTATTATGGGAAGCTCGTAGTCGTTGGAAGTACTTGTAATTCCAACTCAGAGCTTCCCATGCTAAGCATACCTGTGCTACGTAAGCAGCTTCTAGTTCATGATACGGGTTATGATGCTGAGTTGACTTCTTATTTATAAACAATTTATGAACAATCCTATCTGATATTGATCTTGGACATGCTTGAATTGATCTTAATGTTTCTGAAAATGAATTGGTTGCTTCATTAGTCAATAATTAAAATAAAATAGAAACATTTTTGTGGTAGGAAAAAAGAAAATATTTCACTTATCGTCACTGAATTTTACCTATCATTATACTTTTAGTGTTTTCATTTTATACGATGCACTTTGACTGAAGCATAAAGTTGAAGAAGGAATATTTTAAAAACATGTCATAATATTAATGTAATTATAAATTATCTCACTAATTATAACTATTGTAAATCGAGAAGTATGACTCATCACTCACCACGTTAGTGATGAGTCATACCTATCCGTAATTTAATTTAAAAAAAACATTTAATTACAAAATAACTATAGAAGTCCTTCACTTGTACAAAAATTCCTAATCCAACACTAGAAATTTCACTTTTTCCATTATTTGTATTTTCTAAGCAATTCACATGTACAATTTCACTTTTTTTAATGTGATAAAATTGGTTTGCGAATTTATTAGTATAAAGTACAAAATTCAGTAATAATACGTGAAATTAACCTGGAAAAAATGATAGAGAGATGGAGATTTACCTGTTTCATGTAGTTTTTGTGCACTAATTCTATCAAAAAACAACATTTCTTCATCATATTTTTGGAAGATAGTGTAAGACTCCCATTTAGGGCAACTTCTCCTTGATGAAGAAGAAAATGGATCATCAGTTGTTGAGTCTTTAATTGAACTTCTCCATTCAGTAGAACTCTTTGAAGTTGAGCCATTAGTACAAGAATCCCCAAATATTTCATGCTCATCCTTTTCTTCTTGCACTAATTGCAAAATCTTCTTATTGTTCTCTAACTTTGATGATGTTGCATTAACAAACATATTTTCCTCTCTAGTACACAAATTAATTTCTGTCACTTTCTTGTCTTCAATCATTTCCCTGTAACAATTTCCTGTAACAAAGACATCATTATTAACATATTTTTTTGGAATCTAAGTATAACTTCTGCCACAGTTTCTACCCTTCAGGTGACCAAACACTTTGAGCGCATCGACACTAGGTAGCCCGATGCAACAGACTCGACTCAGAAGACATTGGGAAGGGATTTATCGTGGATCATTCATGTGAATAACTACCCTCCAAACCAACTAAGTCATCTCGAAGGACCATTATTAACATTGTACACGTGTTTTGGGAAATAAATTTAATTTGTAAAATAAGATTTGAATCAGTACGTACCATGATTTATGTCCTTGTCGATGATATTCGTTAATACATTTGTATTCATGTCCCGGGGAAGAGGTGAAGTGGGCCCAACTTTGTTGATTTCAGAATCAGAATAACTAGAAGGATCAGAATCAGAATCAGAATGATCATCTATTATTTCTTTAACTTCCACTTCATCATCATCACTATAAATAGATTCTGAATCCATTATTGAGCTATAAATAGACTCCTCTTCATAATCATCATCAGTACTGCTACAACTTTCTTCTATCTCTTTCTCAACACCAAGAAATTCATCATCTATGAAATGATTTTCGTCCACAAACTCACAATTATTATTATGATAATACTCATGTTCTTCCTCCACTTCTTCGTCATCAGAAAATTCATATGCATCTTGATTCCTAAAAATAAAGTAATTGTGTTAAGAAAATAATTAACTAATTAAAGTGTGTTCTTTCTAATATCTTAAGTTTTCAAATGATATGGTCACACACTTCAACATGGTAACAGAGCATGTAGAGGTCCTGAGATCAAGTCTCAGCCATCCATATCAAAAAGAATTTCCACGAACTGAGAATTAAAACATTAAAAGGAAAGTAAGGGAAAAATTACAAGTTACCTCCAGAAAAACGGATTTCCACCAAGGAAATAGAAGAATTTGGCAAGCAAAATGGAAGTGAAATAGGTGAAGAGTAATAAAATTTGAAAAGAGCTAGAGACATTGTAGAACAAACTAGCTATAGTTTCTTCTGAACATTGCATCTTTCTTTCTTTTTTGTTTTTCTATAAGGTTGAAGGCTTACAAAGGTTTTAGAGTCTCTATCGATTTTTGCAACAAAGCAAAGTAGCACTAGGAAAAAAAGTGTCAACTTTAATTGCTTTATAAAATATTTGTTTGTCACAAGATGGTCTATTGCTTTTTATATTATTATGGAGTTTACTTAAATATCCTTATGCTTAAGATTGATCTTTTTGGTGTCAAATTAATATGCGCTATTAACTTTATTTAGGTGATAGTATGTACACCACTTTTATCAAATATTGCATGCAACTTCCATTACTTTAGAAGAAGAAAAAAAGGGAAAATCAACCAAAAAAAAAACGACCTTGTGTGAAGGTTGGTAAAAAATCGATTTAGGAGGTCGATTTTTTGTGAAAGTCGGAAAAAACCTAATTTTGTTTAAAATTAAACAAATAGACACAGTACACATCTTACATGACATCCTAAATGTAATTTGTGTCCTACGTAGTGTCCTATGTGTATTATGCCACATAGGACTCATATGTTTACTTGTTCAACTTTATACAAGTTAAAGTATTTACTTGTGTTGTTGTGCACAACCAAAGATAAAGACCATAAATGTGAAATGAGGCCAAGTTAAAGAGTATATTTATGTTATTTTATGTATTATCCCTATTTATAAACCAAACATATTATAAAATAAATGCAAAAATAATGAAGTTATTCATGTATTAGCTTTTTTCGTTTATCCACTAATCAAACAGCCCCTATATGTATAAACACAGATGTACTTATATATGCTTTACATGAAATAATTATATTTCCCCATAGAAGTACACGAGACTTGTTTTTGGGGCTTATATTTAATAGTTGAAAAAAGTGGAAATTGACATATGAAAAGAATAGTAATGAGCAATCCCTAAATAATAAAATACAATAACAACAAAATTAAAAAGGAAGAGACCTGACCCAGCCACACGTATCTGACTTGCTCTTTAAAAAAGAAATGTTAGAATACTTGGCTGTTGGCAGACTAAAAATGAAAAACACTTAAAAGAATATGAAAATATTAAAATAAAAACAGTATGGATTTTACTCCCTCCGTCCCATTTTATATGTCATATTTTTACTTTGCAGCATTAAGAAATGATGTAACTTTACTCCCTCCATCCCATTTTATATGTCATCCCTTTCTATAAATAGCTGGACCACAATACTTGTAATTTTTATAAAATTTATGCATAAATTACCATATTTTGCCTATTATACCCTTGATAGAGTAGTCAATTAATCTTGAAAATGTATTCATCATTTGTTATAAAAGTTGACTTAAGAAAATATTAAATAAGGATAGAAGGGTAAAGTTACATCATTTCTTAATGCAAGTGCAAAGTAAATAGATGACATATAAAACGGGACAGAGGAAGTATGAATTAAACCAACCGTTTAATTCCTCGATGGTATCTAGATTTGCTCAAATACTTAAAAGAGGAGGATCAACTTCGACACACTAACTATGGCAATAATTATTTATCGTTCTTGCTGAAAATAAATGATTCAAAATAATGGTCCTTTTTTAAAAATTCAAGATATAATTAAGTATATTTTTTCTATTTCAGCCATAGCAATAATTATTATTCTCGGAAGTAATATAATTGACTAATTCGCATTAAAAAACACAAGTGAAGAGCGAAACACATATTTTTCAATATTATGATGATTTAGATTAACTCTCTTTTTATTTATTGATGAGAACTAAAGAGAAAATATTTATTGTAAAGAAATTAACATTTTAAATGATTAAATATAATAACTAAAGGGTATATAATAAACTTCTCTCCACTGACTGTGGACTGGAAAATTACAGCGTCGTCAGTTTATTTTTAGAAATACTTATTTATTTTAATATATTCACATATTATTAATATTTAAAATAAAAATAACAAAAAAGTATGATATGGTAACTTGAACTCTAAATTAATTATAGTAATTTGTTTAGGATTCTTATTTGGTTGCCAAAAAAATATATTCTTTCACTGCTTTCTCTTGTCCTTACTCTTTTTTTTTTACTAATTAATCTCATAAAAAAATTACTCATAACTTATTAAGTCTTGTTTGCAACATGAAAAGGTTTTGGATGCTTTCATTGCTTTAGACTGTGTTTTCTCTTCTTAGTTCATCCAATCAACAATACAAAAATTAATTGAAAACAAATTTGATTCATATACCATAATATGTACTCTAATTTATTTAAATAATACTCAAAGTCAATAGTATCAAAAATATTTGAACGTTATTTCAAAAAAAAAAAATCTTAGATCTATAAAAGAAAGTGTTCTAAACAATAAAAGCAATAAGAGAACCTGAAAATCATTAATCTTTAATAGCTTTTTATTTCATTAATAACTAGTTTTTTTTTTTACTTAATAGAAAAGATTAGTCGTAAATATTTTTTATATTATCCATGTACATAAAAGTTAAACTTGATTAAAGAAGATAAAAGTTTGCACGCGCCATGATAAAAATTAAATTCAATCAAAGTATAACACAAATTATTCTTAGCATATTAGGTGTAACATCCGGCAATTTGAAATAACTATGAAGAGGCTTAGAATTGGAAATAGTCTTTTTTTTTTTGGAAAGAATTAAAAATCTGGAAAATTTTGGTTAAGTATGGGAAAAAGTGAGTTTTTGGCCAACTTTGAACAGTTATAACTCCTAGCTCAGGATGAGTTAGGTATAGTTCCAGTTATGTTTACAAAGTTCGTGGAATGATATTTCCAACACCACCGAGTTTGCTCGATTCCGAGTTCGTATGAGTGAGTTATGCCCTTTGGAAGTTGAGCAGTTGGCAGGGAAGTCCGTCCGGAAATTGTAAGGGTATTTTGGTCTTTTCCCTAATCAATTGTTTTGGTTATATTAAGGGTTTAGACTGATTTTTAGATCAGTTTTTCCCTTTTTAAAAGAGTGAGAGTAAGGGTTTGTGAGTGAAGAGGAGAAGAAGAGGGAGAAAGAGAAGATCAAGCAAGGTTTCGTCAAAGATCGTCGTGGATATCGACGGGGGTGATCCCTACTAGGTATGTGGAGATCATAGTGTTGGGTTGGTTCTTTCCCCCACACGCCAGACTCGTTTTAATTCCGAGAAAGGATTGGTTATGTTTGTTGAAGTTGTTGGTTATGTTTGTTGAAGTTGTTGGTTGTGTTGTTGAAGTTCCTTGTTGTCTTGGTACATGTTTCCGGTTGTGATTTCGAGTTAAATCTAGTGTATATTGAGGGGTTTTATGATTCCAAGTGTTTGGGGCTATAACCTTTGAAGTTAAGGTGGTTTAGAGTTGAAAAAATGAAGGAGAAAAGTCAATTTTTTGGGGAAAAGGGCTGGGGCGTCGC